ATCTCAGCGCCAACGTGCTTCCGGTAGCCCCGCATCCGGGTCAAGCCCTACCCTTCGTAGCGGCGGCGACATCCACGAGGGCCCAGCCCTCCAGAGCTGCAGCACCACTCCGGGCTTTGTCTTCCGGAGCCGCCCCACCCAGAGAAGATCTGGCCCTGTCCACCGCCCCTGTCTGTTTGGGGTGGGTGCCCCGGGTTCTCATCCTTCCCCTGGGTCTGCTTTAAGAAGGCTGGTCTTTGAGAGCAGCTCTAGCTCTTCTGATGCCGAGGGCCCAAGCGGTTCTCCACAGCGTGTTTGGCATGCAGTCCGTATGCGTGCCTCTTCACCCTCACCCCCTGGCCGTTTATTTCCATACCAGATGAAGGCTGGTGAAGAGAGAGTTTCCTCCTCCTCCTCTTCCTCCTCCTCTGCTCCCTCTTCCCCTCAGTCTGCCGCTAGCCATAGCCCTTTATCCTCCGGCCAAAGCACCACCTCCTCCCCTGTGTGCCAGGTCCTGGCCTCCATCTCCACTCCTAGCCCTTCTAGTCTGAGGCGTGCCTTGCTGCCTGACCTAGAAGTTCTGAGTCCTCTCTCTTCGGATGAGCCAGATGAGCTGGAGGAAATTGGGAGTACTCCTACTCCTCCTCCCCAGTGTTCAGCTGCCATGCCCGATCCATAGGCACGCTCATAAAACCTGTGAAAGCAGCATCCACCCATTTCCCTGGGTAGGCTGCCCACCCCACCATTGCTTGTTAAGAGTTCTAAGTGTTCTAGTTATTAACCAGCACTATTAACAGTTTTAAAGCTGGTGCTTGGAAAGGCAGTTTTGAATCCCTTTCTCATGGTAATTCCACCACCCTGACCTTAACGCTGTGGGCCTTTGATTTCAGGCCCTTATTTCTCAAAACAGGCCATTTTTGCCCCATGAGCTGAGATTTGCCTTTTTCCAAGTTGGCTTTCTTTAATGAAATTTCTTAATAAAAATGCTGACATCCCCCCCCCAAAAAAGTAGCTTCCTCCGTTGTCCAAAAGCCTGTTATTATGTCTTATTTGGAATATTAAAGAGTCATTGGCTTATTAGCTCACTCTTTGTAAGGGAGAGAGTATATATATGTGTAAAAAAAAAAACTATTTTAGCAATTTATTCCCACTCTCCAAGATGAAGCTCAATCCTAGAAATTCCTGTGACTGTTCTAGTGATTTGTAACGTGGACAACAAAGAGGGAGTGTTCTACCAAAGTGACTGGAAAAAAGGAGGGGTGATGGAAGTACCGAGGGTCTGGAAAGTGGCAGGGCATTTGGGGGAGGGAGGGAAGAGGAGGAGAAACAGCTTCTCCAGGTGGAAGTAGTGTTTGCAGGAAAGAATGCTTATGATCTACATGGGGGAGACTGGGAGCAGTCAGAACCCAGGGGTAAAGGTCTTAATTTCTAGAAGGAAAATGTTTGCGTTGGGGAAAAGGTGCTTCTGACAACTTTAGGGAGAGAGAAAGTTCAGTGAGGTTGATTCAAGGTAAATGACTGATGCAGAAATTGATAGTGAGTGTGAGAAAGTATGTCAATAGTCTGTTTTAAAAAAAAGTGTGACTGAGGGCCCTCCCTGGTGGCCTAAAGTTCTGTGAGGTTGATTCAAAGTAAATGGTTGATGCATAAATTGATTGTGAGTGTGGAAAAATATGTCAATACATGGTCTGTTTAAAAGAAGTGTGACTGAGGGCCCTCCCTGGTGGCCTAAAATTCTGTGAGATTGATTCAAGGTAAATGATTGATGCATAAATTGATAGTGAGTGTGGAAAAATACGTTAATAGATAGTCCATTTATAAAAAGTCTGAGGGCCCTCCCTAGTGGACTAATGGGTTAAAAGCACAGCACTGAGAAGCTGTCCACAGCCACTGCAGCACTGAGTTCAACCCTCTGCCATGGAGGAAAAGTCTGGTGTGGCAGACTTTTCCTGACCAACCAGCTGCTCCCCTCAGCACTGAGTTTCTGTAGATCCACCTGTTCTGTACCCCACTCTGTCTGTGGTGAATCTGCTCACCCCCCCACACCTCTAGCCTGTACCCCAGTTCTTACGTGCATAAATAAATAAATTTTAAAAAAAATTTGAGTTTCTGAGCAGGTATGTGAGGTTGAGAATATATGTGTGGGTGTGTATGTATGTTGACATTTGAAGAGATCTGGATGGACATCCTCTGAGCAGTTTATATATCCAGTTTTTAGAAGAACTAGTGATAATACAGGTTTTCTCTCCTGTGTTCTCCATTTTCTACCTTGACCATATTACTTCTTCTATAAGAAAATTCAGATCAGCTGTTTTTCTAGAAGTTAAGTTGTAGGAACATGGTAGGAGAGCTCATTGAAAGAATGGGAGGGAAAAAATAAACCAAACCAGAAAAAAGGAACTCCCATCTGGTTTTTTTTTTTTTTTTTCATTTTTCTCTCTGCTTTTTTTTGGTATGTGGCTAGTACTGACAGAGCTGGATAAGAAAGCTATTTTTCTGAACCCCACATACCATTAAAGCCCTTGAAATCCACAGGGACAATTGCATATACCTACCAGATCCCAGCAACCTGACTTCGATGAATATTTCAGGTTTTCTCATTTCCCTAGGCTGTTTCCAAGTCCTGTAAGGTCCTAATCATTCTTGCAGTACTTCTAGGGAAGGGAGGTATAGCCTAAGGTACCCTTACTCTTGAGCCCAACAGTGTCCTGTGTGCATTTACTCCCTAGGAGATCCATATTTATGTTATTTTTTTTTTTAAGACGAGACTTGTTCTCACCCACACCCACCCCCTAGTCGTCTCTGACAAGGATTCCCACCTATTCCCTTGTACTGAGGTCATGTTTATCATCACTTGATTATCATTAATTACCATTACTTAGTTGATTTCTCCACTTGAGATATGTAAAAGACACTTCAAACTTCAGTAATAAGGAGTTTTGTCTAGTGGATATAATGCTAGCCACAAGTGTGGCCATATTTTAGCCAATCTGAAAAATTACAAAGCGATGCACGACATGAATAATTTATATAAACCCATCTATCCAAAAATGTTATTTCAACATAACATCAGTATACAGATAATGTAATGTTTATTTTCAAAAGCTGTTACGTGATTTATGCTTACAATATACCTGCGTTCTGACTAGTCATACATTTCAGATGCTTAGTAGCCATAAGTGTGGACGTGTGTATAGCAGAGTTTTGGACCTTCGTTTTAGTTCCTTAGTCTTGTTCATTCCCTATTGGATTATGATTCCACTTCCAGCAGTTTTCATAACTGGACATCCTTTCTAGAAAGAATCCTTGTTGGAGTTTCGAGAGTTCACGGGTTATCCTCCCAGCACCTTCAGTGGCTCTTGAACTCCTTTTTTTTTTTTTTTTATTTGTTGGGTATTGAAAAGGGCAAAAAACTACCAGTTTTAGCTGCTCTTTCCAGTGAGTTTGCTAGTTTGCCTTCTATTACCAAGTCACAGGTCAGTCAGACCGTGCTGTTCCTTTTGTTTTTTGTTTCTGCACAGATACTTGTACAATATAGGTGATTAGTATGGGTACTTTGTCCTCATCTAGTTGAATTTCAGGGTTATAGGGCATAGCTTGTAACCTAAATTTGTTGAAAATGTTATCCATACATTTTGCTTTTGCTCTCTAGTTGCTGTTTTTATTTGAGTGTTTGGAGAGGTTGAAAAGCTATATAGCCACTGCTGCAACCATCTTCTACCAAGTATCCTTATTTGAGAAGTGTGTCAACTCCTTCCTAGGCAATGTCCCAGTTTCAGGTCATGACAATTTTATAACTAACCCTTTGGTGAGCCTCAAAGAAACTCAGTGGGATCCATTATCCTACTAAAATAGAGTAAAAAACAAACAAACAACAACAACAAAAAGACATTAATTTCAGGAATCAAAACAATTTATTTTTAGAACTAAAGGAAATGTTTTGGGGGCTTAAAAGCTTTTAAAAAAAAATACCAGAGGCCATTGCAGTGGGTTAAAGCACAGCACTAAGAAGCTTAAGCCACTTCAGCATGAGTTCAATCCCTGCCTGCCCGGAGGAGATCCACATGGCACAGCAGACCTCTCCTGACCCTCCTGCGACCCTCCCACTGCTCCCCTCAGCAGTGTACTTCGTTGATCTGCCTGTTCTGCTCCCCACTCAGTCTCTGGTGAATCCTCTCACCCTCTGCATTTCTGGACCGTACCCCAGTTCTGTATGAATGTATGAATAAATAAATCTTAAAAAAAAGAAAAAATACCTTTTAATATAAAAAGACACACATTTAGAATTTATGAGTTACTCTCCATGCTAAAGTAGTATTTTCTTGACTTTTGTACTTGACACTATTGTTTTATTTCATGAACTGCAGGGTCTGCTTATGAAGTTTCTTTTAAAAATAAAGCCTTTACTTTGTCATATTATTCTTAAATTGTCCTAAAGATTAAAATGGACAGTGCCCTTTATGTGCTAACAACAACAATGTATGGACATATACTGAGTGTCCAGTAAAAAAATAGTTCTTCCTCTGATTAGACTTATGATCATTTCTGACCCCAACAGCTAGATTTATAACACTTTACTGATCTTTCCCAAGCAACATACTTCATGAGTTACCATTTCAAAAATGGGAAGGAGAATTCATTATTGAACTTAACTTTAAAATATGAATACATCCCCACAGGCTATTGAGCAGCATTTTTGCCTACCCCAAGAAGCTACTGCATAAAAATGTAAAAGCAAGGTTTTAGCTTCCAAGCTTCAAAGTCCAGGACTCTAACAGTACTATTCACAGAACAACCTTAAGAATAGTTGTTTGTAATCAGCCCATTTTTACAGATTAGGGAATTCAGAAAGAGGTTAGGTAAGATATATATAACATGAAGGAAACACACTCAAGGGCTCTGTCAGTCCTTTGCAAAGTTACCGACTTCCTTTGTGAAATAAACCATATGATGTGACCTGTGCAGGGTAATGTTTCCCCGGATGTAAAGAGGTAAGTTTGGATAAAGTAATCTGCTGCTGCATATTATAAGGAATGGTGTTAACCACTTATTAGTATGTAAAATTACTCTATCCACTCAGACTGAAAGGTGGAAAATTTCATCTCAGGCACATGAACTCAAAGACACATGTGAAAATGTTCATACAAAGTCAACTTTGTTGTGCAGGGAATTAGGAACAGAGCATTTGGAAAGTGACAGCTTGGGAGTTTCTGTGCCCTCTCCAGTACCATGGGAAGATGTAGTTTCCCTTTGTCTTTGTGTCTAAGTGGTGCCGGGTCCCCAGAAGCATCGATGAGCTGGGAAGGGGAGTGAGGAGCCTCTCTCAGGGTCCCCTGGCACTTAGGCTGGGCAGAGCTTTCACTCTCAGGTTCCTTTGTAGCAAGGAGTCAGAAAATCTAGCAGTTCCTTCAACAAGAGCATCCTGCTCACTATATCTTTTTTGATTTAAGTTTAATGATGGGGAGGGGGAATCCCAACTATGTTAATCTAAGGATTTTTTTTGAACACCTGACTTCATATGTCATTTTGCTTCAAGTCATAGTTTTCAAGAACCTATTGAAAATAGTAAGAGGACTTAATGTATCAGAAAGACCTGTGCTGGTCCTAGAAGTTGCCTGCTGGCCAACTACTATGCTGCACAAGGCTGGGTTCTAGGGCAGGAGAAGCCTAGTTGCTCAG